CAGAGTGAGGCCTAGGCTGAATCTAAGGACTGCTACCTCACATTCAAGCATAGAGGCAGGGCAGCTCCTATAAAATACATTATGACACATGTACGGGACTGAGCAAGGCAACTTGAACGGTAATGACCAGGTTGGGCACATAAACGGCAGCAGCCTGTGGAGCGACAGTGTTTGGCTGGGTAGACAAAACGCTAAAATTTCTGACAATGATGAGGAAGGGGTCGATATGGTCAGACATGGTAGGACAATCCACCAATACACACTTGATGTGGGAGGTCAAGTCTACAAAAGCTGATCTTGGCAATATTGACATGGGACTTACACTGGTCTTTGGGAGGAAATGTGTAATGCTGTACTGCCACTGCATCATAATCAGCAAGGTAGGTAAGTGGGTAATTTTCAGTCTGACCAGCCCTTGTTGTAGACAGGACAAGCATTTGGGGGATAGACACCGTTCCAGTACAAGTATTAAGAGAGGGTTGAGGTTCAGCAGGAATGGGTTTGCCAACGAGATCAGTTAGAGTAGATAGTGCACAAGCTTGGGATTCAGATGTAACTGTGACAAGATGTGACAAGGGTATTCTCAGAATAGGGGGCTGTGGGGGGAATCACAAAGAATCGATCCCACTTGGCTGGGCCAAAGAGAGTACTCAAAAGGCTTGCAAAGGTAGAGGCAGTAGGACAAGGGCTAGAGGAAGATGGGGTGATGTGGAGTGGAGTAGTTCTGTGGGGGGGGGGGGGAGACAATAAGGATGAAGAGTAGTAATAAGGGAAGACGGGGTAGACACTGAAGAGGGCTGTGCAGTAGGATATGGAGAGGAGAATATTGAGAGAGAGGAACGGGAGCTTTCTGGAGGTTGAGTAATAACCTGAGTGGGGGTTTTGGAATGGATAGAGTTGTCAGGAAGCTTCGAGGAGGAGGTATTAGTATCAGTGGTCGGAACAGAGGTCAAAGGAGGGGCAGGGGTCCAAAAACCATGAACATCAAAGTTAGAAAGGCTAACTGATGAAGGGGCAAGCCTTAATGCCCCTATTAAGGATAAAATATCTTCATGACTGGCAATGGTGAGCCTGAATACAATGGGGAAAAGAAACGGTCTACCCCTCAGGGTCCCCATATGAGGTAAGGGCTAGGCAATTAACCATGGGAATACCGTGCCCATGGTTCCTGGAGGCCGTTCATGAATGACACAAAGCCAGCCTTTCATCCTTTCAGCATGGCTCTCTTACCTTAGGAATGGGATAGAAGAAGGGGATGAAGAATATACAGAGGAGGAAAGGAGAGAAGAAAAGACCAAGCAAAATTGGTTCAGGTGAGGGCTGAGGTCCAAGGTCGGGGTGATCCCCTACAGTGGGCCTCAGTCTCCGTCTCCTAAGCCCTCCCATGAAAACAATGAGCAAGGTATTGGAAGGGACAAATATCTTATGTAACTGCATAGACATAAATATAGATGAATGTCTACATAAGTGCTTGTTGATTCCTGTGTTTACCCTATTTTGTTCATAAAGTCCACGTCCATCCCAAGTTCAGCACTTCTGAGTGATTTTCCTATTTGTGACTTTTTTCTGCTTCATTGCAGGTAATGAATTAATGAAAATTCAGTAAAAAGAAATTCCTCATATAAAATACACAATATTTTTTTCCAAGATCACCTACTTTTGCTTAAATGTCTATGGGTTAGTCTTACCCTGTGCTAACTTCCAATTTTAAATATAAAGAGGATCGTCTCGTGGATCATCCTTATCATGATAAATCATGTGCCTTTTTAAATTTCTATTATCAGCAGCTTGGTATGAGCAATATGGGCAACAGTATGGCTTTTCTCCTGTATGAGTTCTGAGATGAAGCTTAAGCCTGGAGCTTTCTCTACAACGATAGGAGCAGTGGGGACAGGAGTAGGGCTTCTCCCCAGTATGCTTCCGCATATGTCTTAACAAGCTGTAATCATGGCTCGTGGTGAAGGAACAGTGGGCACACTGTATCAATTTTTTGTTGGCAGTCTTCTTGGTTGCAGCGACTCTTCCCCGGCCAGTCCTCTCCAGCCCCACCTGTAGGGGACGCCCAGCTTATTTGTAGTTACAGCAAATTTGTAGTTTATCTGTACATTAAGTACAATCAACAGCTAAATTAAGTACTTTTGGTTGTAATGTATATATCTAATCTTTGTCTGTTTTTTTTTCACAAAAAGAAACTAACACTCCTATTGTTATGAAACCTCACTGGCAGAACATTTTCAAAACTATCAATAAAGTACTGAAAATTACTTGACCACAGTGACTATCTTAACTACCTGAATAAGAGGAATGCTTTACTAGTCACAGTTTAGTTCCTCAAAACCATCATTTGAACAGTGTTTCCTGCTCAGGATACAGTTAGCTCTAATTTGTAGTAAAGTGATACTGATACAACTTATTAGTACTGCATATTAAGTTTGTGAGGTATCTCTATATTCTACAATAGCAAGAAATAGTAAAATGATAATACAGATCTCAACTGAAAGAAGAAAAAAGAAAGGGAGAAAATTAAAAAATACTATACATTCTTAACATCAAAATGAAAAGTTAAATCAATTTCACCATCTAAAAACTAAGAGAAATATGTTACTGATAATGTATGATTCTCCAATTCTGCAGTAGTGACAGAAATAAAGTAAAGCATCATTATTGTATACTACTTAAAAATGTGTGAAGAGTATAATACACATCTGAACAATAAAACCAAACAGAAAATCATCTTCATACACACAGATTAATTTTTTCCCCTTTATTCTCCCCTTAACGACAGACATATGACTGGATGATGTTAAATCCTAGAATGACATGATTGTGTAAGACATTCAGACTACCAGACAATTCCTAACAATCACAATAAGTAATAAATCCCATTTTGTTAAGACTGCTTTCAATTTGTATATACTATTTGTACATATCTTTCTTCCTTACCTCTTTCTATTTCTTATTCATGTTCTTATTTCTTATATCTTTCCGCTGGATTCACTGCATTCGCTTTACCTTTTTTTTAGTATTCATGTTCAGAAATTGTTAGAGCAGACCAACCTTTGTATTCGTTTAATTCTAATTTTCTTTTTATTAAAAACTCTGTTTCAACATATTTTCTGTATAAATTCATAAGTATTTTTGTCTATTTTTGTCTCACTTTCAATCAATCAAAATAAAAAATTAAGGAATGAAAATATATTAAACAAACAATAATAAAATCATATCAAATGAATGCCTTCTTTACAAAACTACCATTAAGACTAAAGCATTATTTATTTTCTTCTAAGAATATTCAGATACATAACCAGCAGAACCAAGTGAGTTGACCTGTCATATATGTAATGTGATCCCTGTTTCTTTATATAGAATAATGTTTGATAACAAAAATTGAAAAAAAGTCTGTAGAGTACATTATAATCTGCACTTTTGAATGGCAGACCTTATACATCACAAATAATCTCTTAAGTAATTATCAAATTTAATCAAGATTCAGCTTTGCTTATACTGTAATGCACTCATTATATGAAATGAAAAGCACAGATATGTGGATTTTTCTTTTACTTGCTTAATAAAAACAGGAACTATTTTCGTGAGAAAATGTTCCCTCTTGACACAAAAATAATAAATCAGTATTTCTATATCAATCAACTTTTTGAGAGAGAGGGAGAGGGAGAGGGAGAGGGAGAGGGAGAGGGAGAGGAGGGAGAGGGAGAGAGGGAGAGGGAGAGAGGGAGAGGAGAGAGAGAGGGAGAGGGAGAGAGGAGAGGAGAAGGAGAGAAGGAGGAGGAGGAGAAGGAGGAGAAGGAGAGAAGGAGGAGAAGGAGGAGAAGGAGGAGAAGGAGAGAGAGGAGGAGAAGGAGGAGAAGGAGGAGAAGGAGGAGAGGAGAAGGAGGAGAGGAGGAGGAGAAGGAGGAGAAGGAGGAGAGGAGGAGAAGGAGAGAAGGAGAAGGAGGAGAAGGAGGAGAAGGAGGAGAGGAGGAGAAGGAGGAGAAGGAGAGAGAAGGAGAAGAAGGAGAAGAAGGAGAAGAAGGAGAAGAAGGAGAAGAAGAAGAGGAGAAGGAGAAGAAGGAGAAGAAGGAGAAGAAGGAGAAGAAGGAGAAGAAGGAGAAGAAGGAGAAGAAGGAGAAAGAAGGAGAAAGAAGGAGAGAAGGAGAAGGAGAAGAAGGAGAAGAAGGAGAAGAGAGAGAGAAGGAAGGAGAAGGAGCGGAGAAGGAGAAGGAGAGAGAAGGAGAAGGAAGGAGAAGGAGAAGGAGAAGGGAGAAGGAGGAGAAAGGAGAAGGAGAAGGAGAAGGAGAAGGAGAGAAGAAGGAGAAGGAGAAGGAGAAGGAGAAGGAGAAGGAGAAGGAGAAGGAGAAGGAGAAGGAGAAGGAGAAGGAAGAAGAGAGAAGGAGAAGGAGAAGGAGAAGGAGAAGGAGAAGAGAGAAGAGAAGGAGAAGGAGAAGGAGAAGGAGAAGGAGAAGGAGAAGGAGAAGGAGAAGGAGAAGAGAAGAGGAGAAGGAGAAGGAGAAGGAGAGAAGGAGAAGAGAAGGAGAAGAAGAGAGAAGGAGAAGGAGAAGGAGAAGGAGAAGGAGAGAGAAGAGAAGGAGAAGAAGGAGAAGGAGAAGGAGAAGGAGAAGGAGAAGGAGAAGGAGAAGGAGGGAGAAGGAGAAGGAGAAGGAGAAGAGAAGGAGAAGAGAAGGAGAAGGAGAAGGAGAAGGAGAAGGAGAAGGAGAAGGAGAAGGAGAAGGAGAAGGAGAAGGAGAAGGAGAAGGAGAAGAAGGAGAAGGAGAAGGAGAAGGAGAAGGAGAAGGAGAAGGAGAAGAAGAAGGAGAAGGAGAAAGGAGAAGGGAGGAGAAGGAGAATGGAGAGAAGGAGAGAGAAGAAGGAGAAGGAGAAGGAGAGGAGAAGAAGGAGAAGGAGAAGGAGGAGAGAAGGAGAGGGAGAGGAGAGAGGAGAGGGAGAGGGAGAGGGAGAGGGAGAAATTGAATCAAGATTTATACGGGTTTGAATAAAAATACTAATTCATAGAAAAATAATTCCAAGTGGTATTTTATTAATAAGAAAAAAGTTCTCTTACTAATCAAGGTCACATTTTCACAGATCAAGTACATTAAACAAAGTGTTTATCAGTAACTGATAGAAAAGTTACATAATATAAAACTGCTCTACAATATTAAATTATAAAAAGAGCAAAAACTATTCTCATTCTAAACAGATGTTTTAAAATGAGATAATTGCACAGATATGAAGCAGATAAGGAACATCAAAAATGCTTACTAATCTATCCAGTTACAGCCATTTGATCTTTTCCCCAGTTGATAAGACTTTATTCCATTTGTTCTTGATCAATTCAAATATCTAGTTTAACTAACAAAATTGCATATTCAAACTATATTTAAATCATTCTTGCCACACCTTTCTATGACTACAAATTATCCAGAACTTAAAATAATTCTGAAGCCTATGTCCCTAATCACTGGTGAAGACATCTTTATCTTTATTCATCTTTTATTATTACACTTTTTTTCTTTTTCTTTTTTTTTTACTAATGACAAGTTTCCTAATATATAAAAAGAAAACTGTGACTGACTTAAACATTGTATCTCTTACAGTATGCTCTAATATGGGTAGCAATATGTCTCTTCAAATTCCCATTATCAGCAGACTGATACGGGCAGTGTGGGCAAGAATAAGGCTTTTCTCCTGTATGCGTGCAAAGATGAACCTTCAGGCTCCCTTTCTGTATACATCTGTAAGGACAGTATGGACAGGCATAGGGCTTTTCTTTTGTGTGTGTAAGGGCATGATTCTTCATGTTGGTGGCATAGGTAGTGACATAAGGGCAGTGGGGGCATCGGCGTAGCTTGCCCGAGGAGAGATTCTTCCGTGGGGCAGAGTCTTGACAGCTGCCATGCCTCATTGTGTCAGTGTCCAGTCCCACCTGTAGGGAATGCTGCTCTTATTGACCTTCTTTAGTATACAATAAGCATGGTTAAGAAATGCAATAGAGAAAGTTGTCATTGATATGATAATTTTAGCAAAATTTCTCTTTTATATTAACATTTCTTACTACACAGAGAAATACTGTCTCTATATAAACAAATAAAAATGGGTAAGACAAAATTAAGTTGTGAATAGCAGATGAATATTATACGCACTCCTTGAAACAAACAAACAAACAAAATATATACATCACATCACCTTGATAAACCATTAAAGGTCAACTTGTACAAAATTCGTCACAAGTCGGTGAAATCATAACATAGAACTCTCAACAAAATTCTCAGCAATATGCCAGCAGGAAAGGGAGGGAAAATTAGTGTCTTTATCTCCTATTGCTGTAAACACACCCCCTCCCAATGCCATACCCCCCAAAAGAGAATGCTTGTTAGTATCAACTGTTACTCAAGAAAATAAATTAATGAATGAATTAATAATAGTGATGATATCTACCATTAATTTCTAAAAACTAACACACTATAATATAAATTTGTTTCCAATATCTAACAACCAAACTGTTGGCATTTTTACTCTTTTTAAGCCCTATTTGTTTAAACAAAAGAACATTAAATAAACAATATCACACACATCAAGAAATATTTATGCTAAAGACCTTCCTTAACACCATAAACGACATTTGGCAACTTACATGTCAAAAGTGAGTATACTGGGTCCCAATATGCAATTTGATATTTCTATAATTTCCGTCTTCTTTCAAAATGCAGAGTTAAATCTTTATGCCTACAAATACATACATTTTTTCATGTATTATCCCATTTCATATTCATAATTTGTCTTTTTCATTCTTACTCATTCATGATCAATAAATTCTTTAATTCATTTACCCATCCATTGCTAAGTCTAGTCACACATCATGACACACATTTGTTCATTAACCCACCTTTTTACTAAGTATATTAAATTTTACTACATACACACACACACACACACAAACACACACACACACACACACACACACACACACAACACACACACACACAACACACATACAACACACACAACACACACACATACAAATAACATACATATATATACATATATATACAATTATATATTATAACATATATACCCATATAATATATATATATAATATACAATATATATATATATCTATTATGTATATATACATATAATAATAAATATATATATATATATATATATATATTAATATTATTTATATATGTATGTATGTATGTATATATATATATATATATATAATAATAATATATATTAATATATATAAAATATATATATATATAATTATATATTATTATAATATATATATATTATAAGATATATAAAATATATATAATATAATATATACAATATACATAAATATTCATATATATACGTATACATACATATATATAATGTATATAATATGAATATATATATACTTATACATATATATAAAACATATAATACATTATATATATATAATATATATAATATATAATATTATACACATACACTATATAATATATTATATAATATATAATAATATAATATATATATTACTATATACTATATATAATATATATATAATATAATATATATATATAATATATATACACATACATATATAATACAGATTATATATATATACTATTTATAATATAAATTTAATATCTAATAGTATATATATATATATATATAGATAATACTAATATATCTATTTAATAAATCCATCTTATATAATATATATAATAATAATAAAAAAAAAAACAAATATATATTCGTGTACCATAATAATAATCTATTATAATAAACAAAATATAATAATAATAATAAATTAATATATAATCAATAATTATATACTATATTATATAAAATAACAATATAAATATAAAAAAATAAATATATAATATAATAAAAATATTACTACATATCCAAAAAAAATCATATAATAATAGTATATAATAACTATAAAATAGTAATAATAAAACACATAATAATTACATATTATAATATAATATAGTATAATATTAAAATATACATACATATATATTTAAGTAATACTATATACTATAAATAGTATAATATAGATATATGACTGAAACAAAACATATAATATAATATATGGTATAATAAATAACTCATAGCTATTAATAATAATAAACTCAGTATATATACAATATATCATACAATAATCATATACCATACAATAATTATATTATATGTATAAATTATATATATTATAAACAATAATATATATATATATATATAATATATGATATTAATAATATATGATATATAAATGTATATAAATAGATATATATGCATATGTAATAGTATATGTAATGAAATTACTATATAACTGTTATGATAATGTGATATAGTATGTGCATATATATATGAATTATAATATGTGGATGATATTATATAATACTAATATCTAAAGTATAATATATATAATATAAATAATATTATATATATAAATATAAATACATTAAATAATATATAACATATATATAAATATACTATAACTACTATAACACAATATATTCACACTATATAATAACATATATCATTATAAATATACACAATCCATATACACAATACATACATAATACTAATACAATACATATACATACATATCATTAAACGTATACATCAATACCATATATTATATTATATATATAATATATGATATGTATATGTAGATATATATGTTATATTATGTATGTATATATATACAATTATAATATACAATACTTACATACATTTATATATAAAATACCTAATATAATATAACATGATATGATCATTGTAATCCTACCTGATATCTGTCGATATAAATACTAAATCTCACTCTTTAATAACATACTAAACTATATATTACTATATATCTATACTATATATACTGTATGATAATAAAATATAATATACTAAAAATATATACTATACTAATATAATATAAACTATATGATCATAATATATATAATACTATATAATATAATATACAATATAATAATTATACTATATTATCATATAATATATGTATGTATCAATAGTATACCATATAATACTACATACTATCCTACAAATATATTATATAATATCACTATATAATATATACTATTATTTATACATACACATATAAATAAGTAAATATCATATATATAAAACTATACTATATATGTAAAACATATATAATATAACTACATAAAAATATAACATAAATTCATACAAATAATAACATTATATAGTATAATAATATAAATATAATACAATATATTATATGTCATATGTATACTATGTAGATCATAATGTATAGATAATAATAAGTAAATTATATACTAATATATCTTTATATATTCTATATTAATAACATACATACTTAATATACTAATTAAATATAATACATAATATAACAATATATATAATATATACTAATAGTCATATATTATACATACCACTTATCATACGATATACATGTATACTACCTTATTAACCATACATATATACATATATACATACATTACAATATCAATAATACTACTATACCTATACTATATAACTTATATATATATAATACTATATATGTTACAATATATGATATATATGCTATAATAATGTATATGTATGTATTAATGATGTATATATAGTATGTATGTGTATATGATAATGGTACTATATATGATATATATGCTGTGATATTAATTAAATAATATATAAAAATGATAATAATAAATATAGATATATAATTATATATATATATATATATGTATATTCATATATATATTAATATGTATGTATATATATATGTATATATATATATGTATATGATAAATGTATATATTATATATATATATGTATAGTATATACTATATATATATATATAATATATATATACATGTATATACATATGATATGTATAATATATATATAAATATAATATATACTATATATATAATATGTAAATGTATATGAATGTAATATGATACATGTATATGTATATGTAATTATGTATTATGTATATGTAAATAATGCTATATGTTATATGTAATATGATAATGTATATGTATACATAATATATGTATTACCTATATGCAATATATGTATATGTATATGTATATGTATATGTATATGTATATTGTATATGTATATGTATATGTAATATTTATACTATATATATATATATAATAATAATATATATATATATATATATATGTCTAAATATATATATATATGTATTAATGTATATATATTATAAATATATATATATACATATTATATATATAAATATATAAATATGTATATATATTTATATAATGTATTATAGTATATAATATTAATATATATATATATATTATATATATAATATATCTATATATATATATAATATTGATATAATATATATATATGTAATATGTATAATAATATCTTTCTATCTATCTATCTAATAAATCTATCTATCTATCTATATATTATATATATAATATATCATATATACTATATATATATATATATATATCACATATATACATATATATAATATATATATATATACATATACTATATATATATTATATATATATATATAATATATCATAATAATATACAATATATATAATTATAATATATAAATATATAAATATATATATATAATATATATATAATATATAATATATATACTATATATATATACACACACACACACACACAAACACATTACAATGATAACCATTTATTTGTTAAACCATTCATTTCCTAAGTTTGTATAAATACTTACATTATAATAAATTCAGAAGTTAGTGTTGCTTTTGATTACACATTGCTATGTTATGCAATTCTAATCAATACAGTGTATTAGAATAAGATATCACCACACTCACTTTTCATATCATTTGATCTGCTTGAAATATATTTGATGAAGGGAATAAAATTCTAGTGTGAGAATTTAAGGAGGAATAAATCTTTTAATTTCTAATATCTGCTCTTTACTTCTATAATCTGGCTACCAATATTTCCAGTCTTTGAACTAAGAAAAGCAGAAAAGCACATCCTGGGAATTAGTTCTTGAGTCTGAAGGATTACAGTTACTACAACTGCCATTAAATTAATTTCTTAGTGCTTTTCCTAAAATGAGTAGCAACATGTCTCTTTAAATGACCATTATGAGCAGACTGATACTGGCAATAGGGACAAGCAAAGGGTTTTTCCCCTGTGTGTGTTGCAAGATGGATCTTCAAGCTGCCTCTCTGAATGCAACGATATGGACAATGAGGGCAAGCATAAGGCTTTTCATTGGTATGTGTCAGGATATGATTCTTCATATTGTAGATGTAAGTAGTGACATAAGAACAGTAGGGACAGTGGTGCATCTTGTCCGTGTAAAAGTTCTTCCTCATCCCGCTGTCCTGACCCTCGTTAAAGGTCAGGGGGTCCACTTCCAGTCCCACCTGTAGGGAATGCTTGGCTTATTCACCTTTATTAATGACATCTAAAAGGAACACCTGTTTATTGTACAACTATATTCACTGGATATTTTGTAAAGAAAAATGTGTAGCCATATTTTTTTGTAATAGTCATATATCAAAATAACAGTTAGATTATCATAGAAAATCAAGCTGGGACTTTTAATGCACATACACATTTTCGGTATCATTCTTTATTAGCAATGCTTTTAATAAACCTAATATCCTGATTTACATAAGTCAATGCATTATAAGAACCTTTATATGCTTCCTCCAATAAATTCACACTACGTACAAGTCTAGTGACTTATGATGATATAAACACTTATCAAAAAGACACCAAAGACATTTAGAACACACATGCATAAAAATAAATAAATAAATAAATAAAAAGTCTCCACAACATGTACATATATTCACTCTCATACTTGCACTCATGCTCTATGCACGCACGCACGTGCGCGCGCACACACACACACACACACACACACACACACACACACACACACACACACACACACACACACACACACACACACACACACACACACACACACACACACACACACACACACACATAGAATAAAATAAAAACAGACAGACTTTACTATTCCTTCTGGTGCATTACATTACCAAGATTTATTAGTTGTTAAAATGAATCAAAAGAATACAATTATCATACAATAGTAACATTTAATCATCAATTTTTGCATTTCTACAAACTATTTTTAAATGATGTGTAAATATATTTGATGTAATATTTCATTTATTATAACTTAAGCCCAATTCTCATGCATGACTGGCTAACTAAACCAAAATCAATTAAATAAATTTTACTTTTTCATCCATGGAAATACTTCAATCAAAAACCTTAATTTCAACTTTCTTTTTATTAAGGATAATACTAAGCTACATGTTGCTTTTATATAAAGGTAGTTTCTTTAAGATACATTCATAATTTACATCAATCTCCAATGTATTTCACTGTAATGACAGCTTTTAAACAGGGCCAGTTCTTCTTATCAGAAAAAGGAAAAAATAATCAGAATAAAATGAGATAAGGTGCACCCTCCCCCCCAATTGCAACAGTGTCAGCAATTTTTAAAAATGAGGTTTCCATTTGGTGGTAAATTTCTGTTCAAGTATACATGAAAAAGTTTCTCCCAAACGTACACTTTTTCCTGTTTTAGTTCTCCACGATACCTGAGCAATACAAAAGGCTTACACAAGAAAAAGATATCTCCCATATCTATTAGTGCAGGATCATGGAAATGAACAAGGCCATGAATGGACCTGTCTTAGTGTGCGGTATAGCTGCCTCATTAATACATTGAACATTTCTTGCCACTCACATGATGTGAAGCTTGCACATCCAACTCAAAGTGCAGTATCTTAAAAAATTATTTCATTCAATTAATAGATTAGAAATGATGATGTTTACATTTACAATGCTGCTTTACTTCAACCCAATGCTGCATGGGATGGTATGTACATACACGCCAAGCCCACTGTGAGTTTAGTTCAATTACTGCCTTTGCACGTAGATGGCTCCACATGTGTGGTCAATTACGAGTACTACCTATTTCACCTGTTTATGCTTTTACTTGATTTTCAAAAATATTTTTTGATATCATATTGATGTTAGGAATGTCAATAACACTATAACGATAATATCTATATTGATAATACCAACAGCATCAAGGCCAACTCAAGGAAAGGTGAAATCAGGTGAGGTTGCATGGTGTACTAATTGACTCCTTTGTGGCTATGCACTTATGGAGCCATCTATGAGCAAAGGCATTTCACAAATTCAAAAGTGGACAAAAAGTTTTCCCAAAAACGGTGGGTTAATATGTACAGTTAAAAATAATCTCTCTCCGAATGCAAGTCATCCTCTCCTTTCTTTTATGTACTTTTTATCGGTTTCAGCCACATGCAGCGAAACTTTACAGTCTCACAGTCAGCAATAATTCACTTAGAGAGGTTTCCATTATTTGGTATGAAAGAACATCATTTCATATAATATCATCATTTGATGGAATGGCAAAACACTCTACCGTGTTGATACAATGTACAAACCAGATTTATTGAAGAAAGTGAGACAACAGTTTCGGAATCATCCTCGATTCCATCCGAAGATGGAATCTTCCTCGATTCCATCTAAAGATGGAATCTTCCTCGATTCCATTCGTAGATGGAACCTTCCTTGATTCCATCCGAAGATGGAATCTTCCTCGATAATGAAACTGTTGACTCACTTTCTTCAATAAATCTAGTTTGTACATTGTGGGTTTTTCTACCATATCATTTTACATATTTGTGTGCGTGTGTGTGTGTGTGTGTGTGTGTGTGTGTGTGTGTGTGTGTGTGTGGTGTGTTGTGTGTGTGTGTGTGTGTGTGTGTGTGTGTGTGTGTGTGACAAGAGTATGTGAGAATATATTTGCACATGATGATATGTAGGCCAAAAGATGATAAAAGCTTCAATAACTTTCATGAAACAACGCAATTTTTCTCATCTGATATTAATACTATCATTGTTTATGAACACATCAAATAACATCAGTTTTACAAATAACATTTATATAATGGTAACAGTACTAATGAAAAAGAAAAATTCAGGAAATTTTATGAGCTGGGTAAACACATGAGGTTCAGTAGGCCTTGTAACCAACTCCTTGGTGGCTTAGCAATTGTGAAGCCATTTATTTGCATAAAAAAATAAATAAAAAGAAAAAAAAAAAAAAAAGAAAAAAAAAAAAACAAATAAATAAGCAAGTAAACAAATAAATATGTAAATAAATAAATCAATAAATAAACAAATAAATAAATTATTATTATTATTCCATGGATAATGCCCATACCTGGAACCAATGGCTAATAACAATACCACATAACAGTTTTCACTGATATTGTGATTAGCTGCAAGATCACCTTAGATATGTTTGCTTGAGGACATTGTTTAATGTATTCCTGTTTTATCTTGATGAGCTTCTCTCCTGTTTGACATTACCTTTGTAACCATTACTAACAATATAACAGGGTTCTCTTTTATTTAGACAAAAATAAAAAATTCTTAACATTAATGTTGATGTAATAAGTGATGTTTCAGCTGGGTATCATGTTAGTGTCTTTTTTTACCATCATTATTGTTATACATTTTTTTTACATTATCCCCCATGTCAGCAACATCATTATGGAAAGTTTCCATATACCTTCATTGAAGAAATTTTGAAAGTTATTTCACATTGGGATCATTTTCATTGCTGTCTGTTCAATCAATATGACAACTTTTAGCTGGAATTTCTTTCATTTATTTGTCCTCTCTAGGTATTAGATAACATACATATATGTTAAACATGATACAAATAATGCCACAAAATATAAAAGATGCTAATACCCAAATCTTATTTTCTCAAATCTTATTCACCTAGCTGAATGCATTACAGTTTTGGAACTTGGCCTCATACTAATAATGAACACTGGGTTACATAAGAAAACATGCAACTTAATGGCAAAAAAATTGTACAAGAACTATATACAAATATATACATATATGAGTAATTCGGATCTTTAATCTGTTAGACTTCAAAAATTAAATAGTTTCCCAATAATTTTAATTCACTTATTATATTGAGAAGGAAAAGGACACTTTCATTCCCATGTCCCATTGACAGATCGGTGTTATTTGACTACTCTGTCTCCTCCTACACAATTCCTGTGAACATCAAGGTTTTTCCCTATGCGTACGAAGATGTGACTTCAAACTGCTATTTTGTGTGGAGCGATAGGAACAATGTGGACAGGCAAATGGTTTTTCTCCTGTATGAATCCTGATATGTTTATTTAAATCACTGGTAGTCATTGAATGATGGGTGCAGTATGGGCATGAAAAAGGCTTCTCCCCTGTATGTGTGCGGTAATGTGCTGTCAAATGAGAGTGCTGGTTAGTGGTGTAGGGACAGTAGAGGCACTTGTGTTTCTTCGAAGTGGTGTAGCCCCTTCCTTGTCCAGTTGCGCCAACACCAGGTCTCAGACAATCTTGGTCCAGCACCACCTGTAGGGGATGGCACTCTTATTCATGTTCTTATAGCCATTTTTCTTCCATCTCATTAGCTTTTCGTATATATTTCCAAAATGTAGGAAACTGAAAATATCACTGACACTAATGAACATTTATTCTCGGTATCTATACAGAGCATTCTACATAGGTATACATGTATGTGTGCATGTTTATGTGTGTGGGACTGAGCAAAAGCAGAAGCTTTAATTTGTGTTTGTGAGTGCACTAGCATTTGTGCCATGTGAACATTAGAGAGAGAGCGAGAGAGAGAGAGCAGGGGGTGGGTTGGGAGCAAGTGATTGAGTGAGTGAGTGAGTGAGTGAGTGAGTGAGTGAGTGAGTGAGTGAGTGAGTGAGTCTGTATGTGTTTTGTCTGTGTGTGTGTTTTGTGCGTGTGCATGTTTTGCGTGTTTGTGGTGCGTGTGTTTTTTGCGTGTGTGTTTTGTGTGTGTGTCTGTGTTTTGTGTGTGTGTGTGTGTGTGTGTGTGTGTTTTGTGCGTGTGTGTGTGTTTTGTGCGTGTGTTTTTTGTGCGTGTGTGTGTTTTGTTTGTGTGTTTTGTGCGTGTGTGTGTTTTGTGCGTGTGTGTTTTGTGCGTTGTGTGGTGCGTGTGTGTGCGTGTGTGTGTGTTTTGCGTGCTTTGTGCGTGTGTGTGTGCATTTTGTGTGTGTGTGTGTTTTATGTGTGTATGTGTTTTGTGTGTGTGTGCGTTTTGTGTGTGTGTTGTGTGTGTGTGTGTGTGTGTGTATGTGTGTGTGTGTGTGTGTGTGTGTGTGTGTGTGTGTGTGTGTGTGTGTGTGTGTGTGTGTGTGTGTGTGTGTGTGTGTGTGTGTGTGTGTGTGTGTGTGTGTGTGTGTGTGTGTGTGTGTGTGTGTGTGTGTGTGTGTGTGTGTGTGTGTGTGTGTGTGTGTGTGTGTGTGTGTTTAGTGTGTGTGTGTGTGTGTGTGTATGCGTGTGTGTGTGTGTGTGTGTGTGTGTGTGTGTGTGTGTGTGTGTGTGTGTGTGTGTGTGTGTGTGTGTGTGTGTGTGTGTGTGTGTGTGTGTGTGTGTGTGTGTGTGTGTGTGTGTGTGTGTGTGTGTGTGTGTGTGTGTGTGTGTGTGTGTGTGTGTGTGTGTGTGTGTGTGTGTGTGTGTGTGTGTGTGTGTGTGTGTGTGTGTGTGTGTGTGTGTGTGTGTGTGTGTGTATGCGTTTGTGTGTGTGTGTGTGTATTCGTGTGTGTATTCGTGTGTGTGTGTGTGTGTGTGTGTGTGTGTGTGTGTGTGTGTGTGTGTGTGTGTGTGTGTGTGTGTGTGTGTGTGTGTGTGTGTGTGTGTGTGTGTGTGTGTGCGTGCGTGTGCGTGTGTGTCAGTGAATCAACAGGCATTTAAAGGATCTAAAAGGACTCCAATGGCACAAGGTAAAGGAAATGTACTGAAGTTGTACAAAATAACTCAGGTTGGGTATTATTAGAACCAAGGTTGTCCGATGACATCAAATGTCAATGATTTAGAGAAAATAGTGGTATGAGTCAGTATTGCAAGTGCTTCCTGCATTAACCCACTCCATGTCCAGCCCATAGCCAGGCTCATCCTGGATGGCAGGACTCAGGATGTGATGATTAGATGTCCCCTGATGTTGATAATGATGTGACAGAACATCACTATGTACAAATGGGTTAAAAAAGGGCACAGTCTAAGAGATCTACAGCAGCAGAAGTACCCTCCTAACCTCCAATCATAATATGCAATAAAATAATAATATAATAATAACATAATAATAATAATAATAATAATAATAATAATAAAAAAAAAAAACTTGGAGTAACTGCCATCCATTTATACTAACAATGTGAGTTTAAAGAGATTTCAACTTTGCTTTGTGCTGCTCTCTACTGTATTAATAAGAGTGTAATGAATGTATAATTAACTTAAAATAAATAATAATCATGTATTTAATATACAACATTCCAATTAGACAATATAAACATATTATAAAATCAAATAATAACAATGAAAAGTCATGCTAGCATAGTGAGCAGATACT